AACCATCTGTGTAAAATTGCAAGTTAGTGGCATTAATTAATAAATCTTTTTTTGTTTGTAAAGCGTCTAAACTATTTAAATCAAATGGAGAAAAATTAGAAATAGGTTGGTGTAAAGAGTCAGAAGAACAAAATAGAAGTGTGCTAATTGCTAGATCTTTTATCATAAAGGGTGAGAGACTTGTACAGAGCCCTAAAGGTTTTCTATGATTGGCAAAAATATGATTACAAAATTCTTTAGGAATATTGAAATAGCAATATTTGTACGACTGTTGTTTGACAAAAGCAAGATTTATGCTGTTATCATGTAGCTGGCATCTAGTACAAACCATTAATGGTGTAAGAGAACGCTGCGTTATACTAGGAACGTAATGTTGGAGGACAAAGGAGTTGTCATTATGTCTAACGATCTTCCCTATGAGCGCGCTTTGTATAGTGTTGTGCCAAATAGTGACAAATGGGAACTGCAGATTCGAAATATGATTGTCGTTGGACTGGTTGAAAGTTGGAAAGTGCTGCCGTATTGGGGTGGTGATGCAACGATTTTCAGAGCTTGTAATTAAGTGATCTTCTATACTTTTGAACCATTTGGGAAACAACCCCATTGCCATTTGTTTATAGATATTAAGATCATTGAAAGTGTAGAGATGATTTCCACAACTTGATATTAGCTGTTCTGCGAACATCAATCCTCTAATTCTGAGATTATCTTTAATAGTCCTATATAATTGTCTAGGAAGAAAATCTATAAGTTTGGTCGGGTAATTATTGAAATCAGTAATAAAGCTCTGTGGTGCAAATGTTTTGGAGAATCTAATATTTATTTTGCTAGTTAGTGAGAGAATTGCAGACCACCAATCAAATTTTGTGGTTAAAAAGTCATAAGGCCAAACATTAAAAGGACACGAAGGTAGCCATTCTGACATTTGTAGTTGTCTTGCTCTAATGAAGGCGGTTTTTCCCAAAAGACCTCAAATATAATATATAATTTTTTTTTTTTTTTTTTTTATGGTGCGGAAGTTTTATATAGTCTTTATTATATTTACGTTATACAAGTATAGAAGTAAAAATGAGAAAATACAAAAATATCTATCTAGAAAAGAAAAACTAAACTAAGATCAATACCAACCTTGCACCATGCTAGACTAAAATAAAGAATAAAAACAAAAGAAATTAAACTAAACCAACCGTCCAGCAGGGGCGTGATTACTTCCTGACCAAAAATTTGACCAATGAGAACCAAAATTAACCGAATGGGCGAAGGAGAGTGGAGAAACAGGGGGTATGATATGTGATGATGATGGGAAACCAGAGGTAACCCAAAGCTGGGGATCAGATTTATAATCATTGTTGATACCTCGAGACAATTTCCATTTTTCAAATGAGTCACATCTTTGAGTCCAAATAGTCCAAATAGTGTGAAAAAGGTCATAATATAGTGAGGAGAGTAAAGCTTTGGTGATGCCGACATCAGCAATGACATTGTTGAGTAATGATACCAATTTACCAGGTACCAAACCTTTTAACATGTCAATAAAGTCTAGGTCATGTATATTTGAAGTGTGAGACCATATTGATAATTGACTGATCTGATAAATGATATTATCATGTGAAGCATTGGTGTTTTTTAAATGGCTAAGTTTAAAAAGCAAAGAGCGTCTCGTTTCTATAGCTAATTGTGACAATGGAATATTATTGTTTGGGCATTGCCATACATGAAGAAAGGTATCAACAGATATAAAACAATTAGGACACATGGGGGAAGTGAAAATGGTAGGATGTCTGTGATGGAGGATATGCAGAGTGGGAAGCATCTCAAGAAGTATGCGATATCTGTTTTTCTTTAGCGTATTGTGTTTGAAAGAAGTAGTTGAGGAGGAGCTATTATCATTCAGGGTAAAAGTTGTCATAATCCAGTCAATATCAAGATTGACGTATTTGTTAAATTGTGGTAAGTTGAGAAAAGCTTCAGCCCAAGCAGCTTGCCTTAATTGTTTAATGAAGTATCTGGGTGGTGAAAGAATCAGTAAATTATTGTGTAGAAGATTATATCTTGGACCTATTACGTTATCATTAAAAGACAAAGGAGCAGCATTCGCTTTAGCGAGTGTATCTACTTGATTATTATTTAAGTCGTCACTATGAGCTACTACTTTTTCGAATGAAATGCTCAGATTATTATTTGTGATCCAATTTGTCAACAAAAACCAAATAGGAAAGTGTTGAATTTTGAGGAGAGGGTTTATCAAGGTAGTACGAGTAGTTGTGTGAATATATTTCTGAAAAGTTGAGATGACATTCTGGGAATCAATGCAGATTGTTACTCGAGCGTTAGTAGGAGCAACAAAAATCGCTGCAAATACTGCAGTTAATTCTGCTAGAGTGGAAGAAGGAGAATGTGAAATTAAAGAAGCGTTAAAGGAGATTATTGGTTAATTCGGGTCAGTTTGTAACCACGCAATACCCATACGGCATGACGGGAGACCTAAGTTTGTAAGCAAACCATCTGTATAAAATTGTAAGTTAGTGGCTTTAGTAAATAAATCTTTTTTTTGTTTGTAAAATGGCTAAACTATTTAAATCAAAGGGAGCAGAATTATAAACAGGTTGTCGTGATGAGTTAGCGAAACAAAATGGAAGTAGCTAATTGCTAGATCTTTTATCATAAAAGGTGAGAGTCTTGTATAAAGCCCTAATGGTTTTCTATAATTGGCAAAAATATGACTACAAAATTCTTTAGGGACGTTGAAGTAACAAAATTTGTATGACTGTTGTTTAACAAAAGCAAGGTCTATACTGTTATTATGTAACTGACATCTATTACAAGTTGTTAAAAGTGTTAGAGAACGCTGAGTTACACCAGAAACGTAGTGTTAGAGGATGAAGGAGTTATCATTATGTCTAACGATCTTTCTGATGAGTGAACTTTGTATAGTATTGTGCCATATAGTGACAAATGGAAACTAAGGATTCGTAATATGATTGGCGTTGGCCTGATTAAAAGTTGGAAAGTGCTGTAGGATCAGGGTAGTGATGCGACGATCTTCAGAATTTGTAATTAAATGATCTTCTATGATTTTAAACCATTTGGGAAACAAACCAGTTACCATTTGTTTGTATATATTTAGATCGTTGAAAGTGTAGAGGTAATTTTCACAACTTGATATTAATTGTTCGGCGAATATTAATCCTCTAGTTCTGAGATTATCTTTAATAGTCCTATATAATTTTCTAGGAAGAAAGTCGATAAGTTTAGTAGGGTAATTATTGAAGTCAGTGATGGAACTCTGTGATGCGATTGTTTTGAAGAAAGTGATGTTTAATCTGCGAGTGAGTGAAAGAGTTGCAGACCACCAATCAAATTTAGTAGTTAAAAAGTCATAAGGCCAAATATTGAAAGGACACGAAGGTAGCCATTCTGAAATTTGTAGTTGTTTGCTCTAACAAAGGCGGATCTTTCCAAGAGACCATTATCATTTACGATGCGAAGAAGTGCATTTGGTTTAGCCAAGTGTTGTTAATTGTACAGATGGTTTAACTTGTAACCAAATGTTGAATGTATTATGGGGTGGGTGTGGATTTGGATAAATGTAACGTTCTTTTAAAGGCGTTTCGTACGGTGTACATTATCTCGTTACAGAACGATTCTGTAAGAAAGGTTGTTTGGGATCGATACATTATCCTGGGTGTGATGACATTATTAAAGACCGTGATAAATTGTTTGTCCATAAGTTTTTTGTTACGGAGGATTAAATTGATGTTCTTGATTTCTGTTCTAATTGGTTGAGAATGAATTTGGTATTAGGTTTTAAAGAAATCCATATACCAAGATATCTAAAAGATTCTTTTGGTTGTTTAGGATCCAACCATAATTCATCGTTGGTGAGATTAAATTTAATTTTAGCAGTGTCGGCTATTGAAGTTAAGAGGATCGATTTATCCCAATTTATTTGAATGCTATTTAGTTGATAAAATGAGTTTGCAGAATCGATTATGTGTTCTAGGTCAATTCTTGACTTGGCAATCCAAAGAGTATCATCCATGTAAGCTAGTGTAGGGACATGTTCGTTGATTACCACTGGTGAGTCTTTAGTTAGATCTGTATTCCATACGACTTGTTGACAGTATCCATATGAGGATTGCTGAATGTGGCAAAGGAGGGGATCGTAATAAATACACCAGAGAATGGGTGATATAATTTCACCTTGGTTGATTCCTGATAAAACATGATATTCATCTGTATTACCATAGGCTGTAAAGACTTGGTTGGAACGTGACAGGAAACAATGTGAAACTAGTAAAGCGAAAGATGGTGGGAGGTGAATACGCTTGAAAGCTTCTAGTAATATGTGTAAATTGACGTGGTCATAAGCTTTTGACATATCCTGAAAAAGGACCCATAATTTATTTTTGTTGTAATTAGCATCATGTGTAACATTATTTAAAATATGGATTGATTCAAAAGTACTCCAATACGGAAGGCCAGCGAAATTGTTACCTTTGAGAACGTTGTGAGTGGATAAGATGCTTAATAGTCTATGATTGATGAGTTTCATAAATGCTTTTCTAGGGCTTTCCAAAAGGGTAATAGGTCTTGTATTGTTCAAATTATATTCCCAAGGTTTCGGTTTGGGTATAGGTAAACAAATGCAGAATTCCAATGATCTGGAATGTCATGAAGGGTTCAACATCCGCATATAATTTTCCAGAGGATCTTTTTTGACAGGGAGACTAAATGTTTAAGCATCTCATTTGTAATTTTTGAAGGTCCTGATGCTTTGCCAGTATTAAGTAAACTAAGCATGTTTTCCCATTCTTGTTCAGAAGGTAGTGACATTAGACTATCGTATATTTGGGAGTCGATATTTGGGATTGGTAAATATGAGTGTTTCCATTCTTCAGAAATAAGAGCAAGGTGATACACAGAGCCAGTGACTTTTTGAAAGTGTCTTTTGGTTTCATTTCTAACATCAATAGGATCAGTGAGAAAACCTCTATCCATACTAGAGTTGTTCATGTATCGATCTAAGTGAATGGTTGTTCTTTGTTTATTTAAGAGTGAATCATACATTGATTTTTGGTTTTCTTTGAAGTTATCACATCTTTTGTTGATTGCCTCGGTGATGGACTTTGATTTATATTCAGCTTCGTATAATTTAGCTTTAGTAAGTATAATTTTGATCAGATCTTTTATTGAAGTTTTAGAGGTTTTGATAGTTTGAATAGTAGGATCAAGATCGATCTCAAAAGTAGCACCATAAGCACTAGCGAAGGATGATACTATATTATGACATTTGGTCCATGTGTTTTCAAACAGGTTTGTTTTAAGGCACTTTTTCGTTAAAATATATAGTTTTTGTATGACTTTTAAATGTTTGTAAGTGTCTTTTAAAAGTTTGGGATGAAGATCTTTTTGGTTAATTTGTGTGGAATGGTTTTCATTGCTGCGTCTATAATGCATTTCTGCAGGTTATTCCAGGCAAAATTAAGTTTGGTTTTGGTATCAAAATTAAGAGATTCCGTATGAGCTAGTGGGGATTTTTCAACGAGCTTGTCATTTTTTAGACTAAATTGAGACCATTGGTTATTATCCTTAAGATTAAAACTAAATGTCAATTTTTTGATTGCAGTTATGAGGTTAAAGGACGCTGCAAAAGTTTGTGGATAAAGTTCGATGTAAACAAGATTGTGGTCAATATGTTATGTATTGATGGGTAAAACTGAACGATAGATAAAATCTGTAATGAGGTCATCAGAAATGAAAATGTGATCAATTGTGGAGGTTGACTGATTTTTATTATAGGAATGTAGGCTACTTTTAATTTCATCTGGAGAAGATAGGAAGAATGTATTCGTTAAATTAAGGTTTACGAGACTGTTAAAAAATGTATCTGCGTATTTTATTTTACTAAAGCTCCGCATAAGCCGAGCCGGCTCGCGAGCCTCACGAGCCGGCTCGCGAAAGCTCAGCTCGAGCCGCTATAAAACGGCTCGCGAGCCGATCAAGCCGGCTCATGCCGTGGCTCAGCTCGTGGCACGGCTCGGCTCGTCAGCTTGGATTTTTTATTTTTGAAAAAAACAATCCAGGAGTATTAACTTTGAAGAAAAACGCTT